CTCTTGCGCGATGCTGCGTTCAGGACAAGCATGGAAAACTCACCACTCTTATGCCAATACGGTCGCAATGATGCATTTAGGTACCAAAATGGAATTGCATGAACATTMACGTGGTGGTTATGTAATACAGCGAATCGATAATAAAAAATCTGCGTCGACAAATTTACATAATCGACTCATCGATTATTTCAACTAATCAGTGCAGCCCTAATATAGAGCAGGGGTTCTCAAGCCATTTGGGTCTGGGGACCCCTTACAAGGGTGAAAAAAATTTTTTGTTTTAAAAAGTAATTTATTGTCATTTCAACCCCTAAATGCCACGGGAATATATATTTTTATTACATTTATTGTTTGTTCTATTAGTTCATTGTTCTCCATGCATTTTTAAAAATAAAAACCATATTAACAATTTAGTGAAATTTTTTGAGGACCCCCAAGATACCTCTCATGGACCCTTGAGGGTACTGGGACCCCATTTTGAGAGCCTCTGCTATAAAGCACACACACACACCACTGCAGAGTCTGCAGGAAGGACACCTCCATTCTAAAAGACCCAACCCACCTCCAACATGGATTAGTCACATTATATCTACTGATACTCTTGGGTTTTTTTTTTTTAAATTGTATTTGTTTTTGAGTGTTTCCCTGGCATTCATTGTATTTATTTTTTAAATTTTACAGTTTAACCAATGTTTAACCACTGCAGACAGCAAAGCAAGAATTTTGCTCAGGGAAACATGTTTGCAGCTGTTCACATGTGAAACACCTMGAGTCCTTGAAGTAAATATGAAAAAAATAACAATAAAAATCTGACCTTTTGGTGATATATTCTACATAGGCAATAGCATCATCTATCCTTCGTTTTTTAGTACACAAGATGAGCCTGTTAAAGTTTCCGTAAACCACAGCTGAGCCCAGACGTTTAAACTCTGCAGCCAACCTGTCGACAGAAAGAAAATAAATCATAGACAAAGGAAAAAAAAAATACAGTATTGAACAACCAAACCGGAATCAGTGTTTATAGAAACAAAACTAAAAAGAACACAAGTTTAAAAATAAATAAGCTATAAACTATGAATTAAGGCTCAACTTAAGAACAAACCCTAAAATTTAAATTTCTATTCAAAAGAAGCAGAAAAAAATGACCTGTTAAGTAGCCTTTTTAATGGAAATTTTAAACATGGAAACTATAAGTGAAATAATTTAGAAATATGTAAGCAAAGGTTATGATAATAAGAGGAATTCTCTAAATACTAGTGATTATTTTTTGATCCCATGTTTGATGGTTTTCTTGTAAAATTACTTACCTTATTTAATGATGTAATGTAAATTTCATACTTAAATGTGATAATAAGAGTGGAGCCTTTTAACAAGGTAAAACTAATAAATGTACTCTCAGTTACCGGTGCCGGCCTAGCATTAATCAGATCAATAGCTGGTTTAGGAAAAGATACTAGATACTAGAACAAACCAACAACAGTGTATCGTTTTATTGTTTTCTTTCAAAAATATATACCTTTCTTTGTTTGGACTATTAAATCAGATCTAAACAGGTCTGATGAGGATAATAGAAATCAATTTTAAAGAAAGCGGAGACTGTTTATATAATTTTAAAACATATATTTCACGTGACAAAATAAATGATGTTGTAAATAGCTAAAAGAAGTTGTGGACTCACTGCAGAAACACTTTGTTCATCATGTTGTGCAGGGTGCGGTGCAGAGCCGGGTCATACAGCAGGGAGCTCGGCGAGCGCAGCCAGCGGTAGAAATGTATCACCTGGTTGTCTGCGTACTTGTTGCGGAACTGTGTGATCTCCCTGACCCATCCGACCACCATGCTCTTCAAGATCCTGCTCCAACAACATGAGAACCACGGGTGGTTAGGCAACTGACCAAACACTGGGAAATAAAAATAACAAAAATCACCACAAGCATCAGATGTTTCTACACCTGAAAGTGTTGGAGCAGAGAGCCGTCTCATCATAGCTAGCGAGAGCGCTGGCGCCCTGGTTTCCTGACATCATGTCCTCCAGCGACGCCTGCTGGATCACATCGAAGCTGACGCCCAGGCTGGCTCCGCCCTCCATGTCGTTAACGTGCTGCGACTGCAGGATGGTGTTCACCGCCAGGCTCTGCAGGTCCAGCTCCACGCAGACTAAAGACGAAACACGGTGAGTCGTTCACAAAGAAAAGAAACTCCTCCTTCTTGTGAGAGCCTGGTTGGGTGTGTACCTGTGGAATAACATCCCTGAGCGTTGATCTCCACGGAGCCCCGGTCATCGCTTTCCATGACCAGTCGACTGTCGTCAGCCTCTTTACCTCCGAGGTCGGGCCTGGCTGTCGGTGAAAGCCACAGCAGGTGGTTGTGTTTTCGTAGATGTCTTGCCAGGAACAAGTCTGAGCCAAAGATGGACACGTCCTCGGGCAAATTACCCACAGGTAGATGGTAATATCTGAAAGCAGGAGACAGTACGCACGTTTCTAGCAGCAGTAATATCAATTCAACAGAGGAAAAGCTGAGTGGTCCGTACCTGGCCATTTCAAATGCCTGAGACAAGCAGCAGTCCAGGTTGAGGTAGTTGCGGATCATTCGTCTGGCCCCGTGGCGCTGCCAGTCCAGAATGTTATAGTTGATCTCATCGACCACGTGCACCGGGACGACGGGGAACTCCTCGAGCACCGGCATCCCTGCTGCCAGTCGACGCAACTCCCAGTTAGACTGCAGGGCGATGAGGGTGGGCCCACGCCGCTCCTCCTGAACACAACAAACAAACACAAGTGTTAGAGGAGGACTCTTGGTACCTATAAGTCTCAAACAGAGTCTGCGACGGCACGAGTTAATAAAAAGAAGATATGTARAAATCCTATAAAGAGTGTAGTTTACCTTGTAGCTCAGCAGGATGCGCTGGAGCGAGCGGGAAATCGCCTTGATGTCGTTTTCAGCTCGAACCTCGAAGGTGTGTTTCTCTGGAGGCAGAAGCTCCTCCGTCRTCTTCTCCAGGAGGGCGGTGCGCTCAGCTGTGTAGAGATTACTCAGGTTGGGCATCTGGTTGCTCCGAACCTGAAATCAGACAGTTGGAACAGAACTTCAGCTCTATTTGATATTAGATACAGAATGCTAATATTGAGCCACGTTCACACTGCAGGTCTTTTTACAAAAAACAGATTTTTTTTGTCATGGACATTCACATTAAATGTTTAATGCAACCTCCATCAGACTCCATTAGGAACTCCTCACTGCATTGATGCAAACCACATGCGCAGTAGATGACGTGATGTCACATTAGAAGTACATGGATGCTACATGTTAGCTTGAGGATTCTGAAGTGCAATCACAGTCGATTAAATTGTTTAGTTCAGTGTTTATATCTGTATCCGCTTCTGAATGCAATGGTGCAGCGTTTTATTTTAGGAACAAAGCAATGTGCTAAAGCTAACTTTAGTTTCTATACGGTCCAAGACTGATGTTACTATCATGGGTTTCTGTGGATTCTCAGTCATACAATGACTCTAGGTTAGCATCAATTTTACTTGGATTGATCCGCCCACCCCCAAGATGTAAAAGTCAGATGAAATGAGACATGAGCRTTCAGACTCGGGTTGCTTTGGAAAACAAAATAGATGCGTATCATATTCAATACTGAAAAGGTCTGGGTCGGACTTGAAAAAAAAAAATCTAATTTGTTACGTTTAGACTGTCGGGGGAAAAAAATCTGATATGGGTCACATAAGAGCAAAATCATCAGATTTGGGTCAAATTTGCCTGCAGTGTGAGCATAGCTTCAAGTACTGGATACTTTCTGGTCCAGTGGATCTATTTTTAAATGGATATTTTTCCCCTCCATTCACACATATTAATAAAAACACTATGCTGCACTTCAGTCAAAACAGAACACAAGATAAAAAMATTAAAATTCACGTCAAAGCCCTGAATGTTTTGGTGCTCTTACTGTGTCCAGGATGAAGATGCTAGCTTTGCGCTGAGAGGGGATGAAGAGGCCAAACAGAGCCTTCTGACCTTGGCTGTGATGATACAGGTACATGTGGCGAACGCTTCCTGGGAAGAGGGCAAACATAACACGACCAYGTGAAGCTCATCACTTACGGTTTCTTGTTACATCTCTTAATATGACCCGCAATCAACCGCAAAACCTACAGCTAATCTCTGAATGATCGWTTGAACAGGATTTCAAGATGAACTGCTTCTTCAGCGGGTCTTACCGGGTTCTAAGTAGCTGAAYTGGGCCAGAGACCTCATCTCCAAATGTTCCAGATCAAAGGAGTCGGTCTCCCTGCCGGCCAGATTCCTCACGATGTGTTTGTTTACCATGCAGAGACATCCGAGCTGCACCAGCGCACGGAACAACAAGGGCACCTGAAAGGAAGAGAAGAAGATTTCAGTTACAGGCTGAATCGTTTYTGCCTTCTCCTCTCAGTCAACCCTCTCTGGTTTMATTTAAAAGAGCCAATCRCASGGCTCTAGAGTGCGACCAATTTGGTCACAAATGCGATCTGATTTCCTAATAGTGCGACTAAAAAAAATGTCAGGTCGCACTGGTGAGACCATTCGTTCGAGGGGGAGGGGGAGTGGTCGCCCGCTGAAACTAAAAGTTTCCATCATGTTCCATAAAAAAATTAATCCAGCAGTATCAMCCATAAGAGTCACCCGCCGACAGTCTCCATCTCTCCTAACACTGCGCTCTGCTCGCGGGCTCCGCTCCACAACTCCCGTGTGCGCACACGCACACACACACACACACACACACACACACA